AAAAAAAATTTACAAATCTCAGAGCTGACAGGGACTTCAGAAATCAAGTCCAGTGATGGGAAGCATACCAAAGCCTAAACAAATGAGTCAGAGGAAAACAGCTGTTTCGTTGAAGGAGAGGTGGACCTATTCCTTCCCTGACCTATCCTGTCCCGCCTGGGCAGCCTTCATGGAGGCTGTGCTGTGGGGCAAATATTCTAAATCTCTGAAACCTAAATCAAATGCTCTGTTTTCCTTGTGGGGAAGCTTGGGCCCAGTGGTGTGATGTGGCTTGCTTTTGGTCCCAGGGTAAATTAGCACCAAAACTGAAATGAATAGACTTGAACAAAGTAGGTTCAATGACAGGACTGAAACTGAAACACCTGGTTTCTGACTCTGCCTTATGCTCTTTCTAGCCTCCTGGAGACTCTTGTTGATAAACTGGCTAAAGCGCCCTGATATGATTCAGTGTAGCAGGTCCCACCTAGTGGCAAATATTCTGTCTTGAGTTGGAGCACTTAGGTCACTGGACTGAGACAGACAGGATGTGGATTGTAATCCCAGCTCCACCCCGCACTGACTAGGTGACCTTGGGCTAGCACTTCCCCTCCTTGAAGCTTGGTTTACCTCTGAAATGAAAACATTGAACTAAATGGTTTCTAAGTTTCCATTCACTATATGATTGCTGTGTATCAATCAGGATAAACTAGATTATGCTGTTGTAGCAATCCCAAATTTCAGTTGTTTAAAACAACAAAGATTTATTTCTGCCTCATGCCCATCATGGATCAACAGGTGGGTCTCTACTCATCATAGGCACTCAGGGACCCAAGTGGCAGAGCAGCCACCCTCTAGAATGTTGCTGGTTGCTTGCCAGGGGGAAAAGAATTTTCTGAAAGATCTTGCATCTGCAGTTAAATGCTCAGCCTGGAAGCAGGACCCCTTACTTCTAGTCACAAATCACTGGACATAGTAATCTCATGCTCTCACCCAGTCACAAAGAGATCAAGAAGAACAATCCTACCATGTGTCTAGAAGGGGGAGAACAGGAAATATTTGGTAACCAGCATTAACCACAGTTTGTCTCCTTGTGATCCTTAGTAACTGTCTTGGCAATAGTTTCCTCCAGAGAAGGGGAGGAGTTAGGAAGGGGGACTGGCTTTCACAGCACATTCCGAGGGGCTTTTGGGACCAAGAAGAGCAAAAATTCCAGAGAGCAAGCTCTTCCCTCGCTTTGTTCAGATTTCCTACCCCTAGGAGCCACCCTGGAAGTCAGATCAGCTTCCCCAGGTGCCTTAAGGATGTTTCAGATAACCTCGCGTGTTTCAGATAACCTTGGGGACTGCACCCCAATCATCATGTCCACTTTCAGGCCTAATTCCTGTCCCCTGAGAGCAAGTGCTACACTTGGCCAAGTGTATGCATGGCATGTCAAGTGATACGGCATAGGGCAGGCGCTGGTCTGGTCACATAAAGCAAAAGAACAGGCTTCTTAGTGCTGGCATAGATGGAGGGGTTAGGCCTGCTAAGGACACTTAACAAAATTTGGCTGCCCAAGACATGGCTTGATGTTGGCCACATTAGTACAAGGCTTGTATCCCGAGTGAAGAAATGGTGGTTGTGTTCCTCTGTGCCAATCAGACCCTGTGGACCACAGAGGGCAATGCTCTTAGAATCTGTGCAGATGAGGGCAGTAACAGGGCAAGAGGAACTGTGCCCTGAGAAAAGGCTAAAGGCGATAGTGGCATCTGGCCTGGAGAGGAGAGACTGCACATAGACAGGAACGGCTGTGAGTGGGAGGGGAGGAGATTCATTCAGTGGCAAAGCTGGGACAGAGCCAGGCTTAGTGTAAGGAGGAACTCTAACAGAGCTGTCACACAGTGCAAGGGGCTGCCTGTAGAGACTAGATGACCACTTAGAGCCAACCCACAGCTTCTGTAGCCTCTTAATTGGAAGACTATTTCTCTGTCGTCACCTCTGCACTTGATCCCTTCATCCAGTCTGGACTTTATCCTGGTATGTCCAGCTGTCCACTGAGCATCTGTACCTGATTGCTTTGCCATCCCATCAGATTCTGCCCAGGTGAATGCCCCTCAGCTCTCCCTGGAGGTCAGCAGCATTGCCTTTCTTTCTTGCTTAGCACCTGTTTGGTCACCCATTCTTTCTGTTCTCCTTTTTCCCCTCAAGCTATAAAAACTACATCTTCAAATTTGTGAGGCAGAGTTTCCAGGGAAGAACACTGTTTTAGACCTGGTTTCTGTCTCCCTCTGCCAGTAAGTATGCAGCAGCTACTCCTGAATTCAGGCCCTATGTCTGTAACGTAATGACTCAGGCCTGGAAGGTGCTATGGCTCCAGCCTGAGACCTCATCTCTTTGTCTAGACATGGGTTAACACGACACTGATCTTATCTTACTCCTATTCTATCCGTCCAGCTTCTCCTGCCATCCACCTCAGCCTCTTCCACCTTCACCTATCACTCTGTAGTCAAATATGTGCTCATCTGTCCCATTATAGAAAATTTGGGAAGTAAAATGAAGATAATTAAATAATCCAGTACGTATTTGTGAATGATATCTGTATGCCAGGTTCTGGGCTATGGGGGAAGACAGATGGTGAAACACTTAAGGAGCTGACAGGCAAGTGAACCATGACACCACTGAGCCATCAGTCCCAGGAAAGCCCAGGGACTGTGACAACCCAGAGATGACTTCTAATCCCGCCTGGGAGATCAAGGAAGCCTTCCTGGAAGCGACTTCAACTGAGCTTAATCTCAATTAAAAGCATTCTAGCCCTACTACCTATATGTAATCACTATTAAGATTTTTAATTATAATAGTAGATACCATTTATTGAGTGTATCTAGTCACTATGCCAGATTCTCTAATATATATATATATATATATATATATTTTTTTTTTTTTAATTCTATAACAAATCTATGAAGCATCTCTTATTACCATTTTACAGATGAGAAAACTAAAGCTGAAAGAAAGAAAGAAAGCAGGCGACTGATAGAAAATCAAGTTATAAGTAACTATTGGGATATAAATCAGAGATCTCTTATGATACTATATTTATCTTTTCTGGACATACATATATGTATTTATATAGATGGCCTTTTTTTAACCGTGGAGATAGCTTTCTATATATGCCCAGGATCTCAAACTGGCAGCCATTTTTATTTTGCCAACCCAGAATTTTTTAAAATGTGAATGTAACGCCTTAGAGGTTACACTTGAGCCACAGGCCCTCCCATTCCCTGTTGTATTATGTGCTTGCCTGTCAGACATTTATATTTCCTTCTTGGCCCTGAACTGTTTTGAGTTATGATCCTAATCATATTTGGAATCTGCTTTTTTTCTCTTAATATTATTTCTTGATGATTTTCCTTTTTTGAAATTATCCATAAGCCTATTTTTAAATTTCATTCTGCCTTTTCAGATGTGTTGCTTATCTAAGAATCTCTGTCACCTTAAGTGGCCTAAGTGAGTTTCTCCTTACTGCCAGTTTGCTCAATTCTCTCAGCATTCTCTGTATGCGGAAGCCTCATTGGGGCTCTGGAGAAGGTCCAGAGGTGGGTGAAGCCCAGCCACTGTCCCCGAGTTGGCCATCTTGGAGAGGAGGATGGGGAGGGCCAGGCACTCCTAGTTCTGATACCCACAGACTGACTTGTGCCTTAAGAGGGGTCCACACAGAGTTTTGTTAGGGGCTCCACAAAAGCACGGATCTTCTCCAGGCAGAATGAGCGCGCAGGCTACGTAGAGAAGGTAGCCTGTGATCTCACTTTGAAGGATTTCACTAGATGGAGAGTTTAATACTTAAAGCTTAGACCATTTTCATGTCTTAACTAAGAGACGAAGGAGAGGTAGAAATATATCTCTGTGCACATGATGGCAGATAAAACAAAAATATGGGGAGCTATTCCATGATGAATATTCAGCTGAGGGGGACGTGCTGGTGC